ATTTCAACTACTTTTGATACTACCTCACTTAGACTGTTTTTCTTATAACCCACCTTCATTCTCCATTTTCTTAGTATAGAGACAATGTTAACTAAACAATTGCTCTTCCCATATACATCCAGCTTATGTCACATACTTGAAACTCTGTGAGATACTGATTAGGCTGCACCAGTCTTAGTTGCAGCGTGTGGGATCAAGTTCCCTGACCAGGGATCGAACCTAGGTCCCCTGTGTTGAGAGGCTGGAGTCTTAACCACTGGACCACCAGGGAAGCCCTCAAACTCTCTCTCTCCATACATTTTTCCTGAACTGTCAGAAGAGTTTACACCCGAACCGAAAGCTGCTTACAGACAGGCAGCAGTCTTGATTTGAATTTCTAGCTGTATCACAGGTGACAAACTTCAGACGCCCGAGGACCAGTGCTCATCTCAGGATGTGAAGCAGCAGTCAGCCGTATCCCTTCCCGCGGAGGGGTTGCCACGTGTCTCCAGAGAGAGCGCCGGCCAAGGGCACTCCTTGCATCCCAGCTTGTGATAGATAGCTGTGGTCAGACGTCTTGCAGAATCGGAAGTCATCTTTTCTTTTTTTAAACTCAAAGATGGTGTCTGCATATATGTGTGACTTAATCTTAGAGATGGTGTTAACTAAACAGTCTCTTTTTCCATGCATGTCCAGTGTAAAACAGGTTTTTAATAGTTGTTGGGACTGTCCACCACAGGGAAGCATGAAGGGGCCGTCTGTGTGAGCCAGTGGTTACCCTCAGGCCATTAGTAACAGAGGTGACCGCTGCCATGGAAGGGGCGGTCACTGTGGGCCTGTTGCTCTGCAGAGGCAGTCACCAGCACCACCTTCCCGAGAGTGCCGAGTTCTCAGAATGTTGCCGTGAGGTGGGGAGCCTAAGCTGCAACTTGCTCAAGGTCACACAGCTCGTAAGTGCCCAGTTCAGGGTCTGGACTCTCTGCCGCTTGACCAGGTGGGCCCTGACCCTCCCCATGGCCCCCTGTCCTTGGTCCCGGTTTTCTCCCTTCTTTTCGGCCACACCGCGGTTTCTTCCCAGCTTCTTTCTTTTCTTTCGCAAGCGTGTTTCCTTAGCCTCTGTTACTCCTGTTTCTTCTCTAAACTCCAGTTCAGTTCAGTCGCTCAGTCATGTCCAACTCTTTGTGACCCCATGGACTGCAGCACTCCAGGCCTCCCTGTCCATCACCAGCTCCCAGAGTCTACCCAAACCCATGTCCATCGAGTCGGTGATGCCATCCAGCCATCTCATCCTCTGTCGTCCCCTTCTCCTCCTGCCCCCAATCTTCCCCAGCATTAGGGTCTTTTCAAATGAGTCAGCTCTTCGCATCAGGTGGCCAAAGTATTGGAGTTTCAGCTTCAGCATCAATCCTTCCAATGAACACCCAGGACTGATCTCCTTTAGGTTGGATCTCCTTGCAGTCCAAGGGACTCTCAAGAGTCTTCTCCAACACCACAGTTCAAAAGCATTAGTTCTTCGGTGCTCAGCCTTCTTTATAGTCCAACTCTCACATCCATACACGACCACTGGAAAAATCATAGCCTTGACCAGATGGACCTTTGTTGGCAATGTGATGTCTCTGCTTTTTAAGATGCTGTCTAGGTTGGTCATAACTTTCCTTCCAAGGAGTAAGCATCTTTTAATTCCATGGCTGCAATCACCATCTACAGTGATTATGGAGCCCAGAAAAATAAAGTCAGCCACTGTTTCCACTGTTTCCCCATCTATTTGCCATGAAGTGATGGGACCAGATGCCATGATCTTAGTTGTCTGAATGTTGAGCTTTAAGCCAACTTTTTTACTCTCCTTTTTCACCTTCATCAAGAGGCTCTTTAGTTCCTCTTCACTTTCTGCCGTAAGGGTGCTGTCATCTGCATATCTGAGGTTATTGATATTTCTCCTGGCAGTCTTGATTCCAGCTTGTGCTTCCTCCAGCCCATAGTTTCTCATGATGTACTCTGCGTATAAGTTAAATAAGCAGGGTGACAACATACAGACTTGACGTGCTCCTTTTCCTATTTGGAATCAGTCTGTTGTTCCATGTCCAGTTCTAACTGTTGCTTCCTGACCTGCATACAGGTTTCTCAAGAGGCAGGTAAGGTGGTCTGCTGTTGCCATCTCTTTCAGAGTTTTCCATAGTTTATTGTGATCCACACAGTCAAAAGCTTTGGCATAGTCAATAAAGCAGAAATAGATGTTTTTCTGGAACTCTCTTGCTTTTTCTATGATCCTGCAGATGTTGGCAATTTGATCTCTGGTTCCTCTGCCTTTTCTAAAACCAGCTTGAACATCTGGAAGCTCACGGTTCATGTATTGCTGAAGCCTGGCTTGGAGAATTTTGAGCATTACTTTACTAGCGTGTGAGATGAGTGCAATTGTGTGGTAGTCTGAGCATTCTTTGGGATTGCCTTTCTTAGGGATTGGAATGAAAACTGACCTTTTCCAGTCCTGTGGCCACTGAGGAGTTTTCCAAATTTGCTGGCATATTGAGTGCAGCACTTTCACAGCATCATCTTTCAGGGTTTGAAATAGGTCAACTGGAATTCCATCACCTCCACTAGCTTTGTTCGTAGTGATGCTTTCTAAGGCCCACTTGACTTCGCATTCCAGAATGTCTGGCTCTAGGTGAGTGATCACACCATCGTGGTTATCTGGGTCGTGAAGATCTTTTTTGTACAGTTCTTCTGTGTGTTCTTGCCACCTCTTCTTAATATCTTCTGATAGGTTCATACCATTTCTGTCCTTTATTGATCCCATCTTTGCATGAAATGTTCCTTGGTATCTCTACTTTTCTTGAAGAGATCTCTAGTCTTTCCCATTCTGTTGTTTTCCTCTATTTCTTTGCATTGATCGCTGAAGAAGGCTTTTTATCTCTCCTTGCTCTTTGTTGGAACTCTGCATTCAAATGGGGACTCTGCATTCAAATGGGGATATCTCTCCTTTTCTCCTTTGCTTTTCCCATCTCTTCTTTTCACAGCTATTTGTAAGGCCTCCTCAGACAGCCATTTTGCTTTTTTGCATTTTTTTTTCTTGGGGATGGTCTTGATCCCTGTCTCCTGTACAATGTCACGTACCTCCATCAATAGTTCATCAGGCACTCTATCAGATTTAGTCCCTTAAATCTATTTCTCACTTCCACTGTATAGTCAAACTCCAGACTGAAAGAAAAAATCTCCAGTGACTTTGGGGAAAGTATGGGGCAACAAGATGGCTTTCACTTTTCCTTTTCTTCTCATCTCCCTTCCTCTTCATCTGTTTCTCTTAAAAGGAATTGAACCCCGCCTCGAACCAGTTAGCAGAGAGCAAGATGAAGACGAGCAATTCTCATCTTGTTCATTATGGGAACCCCCGGCATTCAGCAGCTGCCTGGTGTATGGGCTGTCAGCACGTGTGTGAGTGAACGAGTCCAGTTCACACAGAACGTTTGTCTAAAAGAGTTTTGCCTGCTCTGTAGAAAGTCTTTTGTGTGCTGACTGAATCTGCAAGTCTGCAAGTGAAGAACTTTTTTGGTGTTTGGCTAACACACTTCACTGTCCTCAAAGCAGCAGTTAATAGTTAGGTTTGAGACCCTGGAATGAAAACATACGTGTTAACCCCTCCACAGCGTTGCCCGTGTCATCCCCGTGCTATGAGAAGGCCTTTTACTCCAGGAACCAAACTGGCTCCCGGACGCCTCGTCTTTTCTAAACACCAGAATGTTACACTTGCTGTTTAGACACGTGTGTGACGCTTTCGGTTTTTGTTTATTCATGTGCCTGACTGCAGAGGTGCCGATCCGACAGGGCCCTGGAGAAGGTGTCCCGGCGTGACCAGGCGTGCTCTGGTGTGTGGAGGGCTGCTTGTGGAATTGGATTCATGCTGGGACGAAACCGAACGACTTGTAACTGGGTCGTTGTGTCCCCTGCCCGCCCATACATGGTTTACGCTGTTTGGAGACTGTGGGACTCCTTTCTGTTTAAGATTATGGAGAAACGGGGGGAAGAGCCCCCCATCAGAGGGTCAGAAATGACGCTTTCACCAGAGGTGAGGCGGCTGTGAAGAGCTCTGTGTGCTGAGAGGTGTTTTTCTCTCTTAAGTGCTGCTTCTAATAGCCAGGACGTGGAAGCAACCTAGTTATCCATCAGCAGATGAATGGATAAGAAAGCTGTGGTACATATACACAATGGAATATTACTCGGCTGTTAAAAAGAATACATTTGAATCAGTTCTAATGAGGTGGATGAAACTGGAGCCCATTATACAGAGTGAAGTAAGTCAGAAAAACACCAATACAGTATACTAACGCATATATATGGAATTTAGAAAGATGGTAACGATAACCCTGTATGCAAGACTTTTTGTCACAGATGTATAGAACAGACTTTTAAGACTCTATGGGAGAAGGCAAGGGTGGGATGATCTGAGAGAACAGCATTGAAACATGTATATTATCTAGGGTGAAACAGATCACCAGCCCAGGTTGGATGCATGAGACAAGTGCTCAGGCCTGGTGCACTGGGAAGACCTAGAGGGATGGGATGGAGAGGGAGGCGGGTGGGGGGATCGGGATGGGGAATACATGTAAATCCATGGCTGATTCATGTCAGTGTATGGCAAAAGCCACTACAGTATTGTAATTAGCCTCCAACTAATATAAATAAATGAAAAAATAAATAAAGTATCCCACTGAGCACTTAACCCAAAAAAAAAAAAAAAAAGTGTGGTTTGCGTCTCCTACGGTGCCTGGAGGAGAGGGTTTCTGGCTCCTTCCCAGCCGGTTTGGAGGCTTCGCACCCCTCCCCGTGTTCCTGGTGTTCCTGGCCGGAGGCCCGATGGAGGCCTGCACTCGCGGGTCTGGAAGGCGGGCGCCGGTGCTCTGCGGAGAGTGCCCCACGTTAACCGGGCAGGTGGAGGGCGCCCCGCGTTGACAGGAGCGGGCCGAAGCGCATGCCCTCACGGGGTGCGCCGCCGGGCTCCCTCTCACGGCGGGTGTGTTGCTCCGCAGCGCTGGTCCCAAAGGCGACAACATCTACGAGTGGAGGTCCACCATCCTCGGGCCCCCGGGCTCCGTGTACGAGGGCGGCGTGTTCTTCCTCGATATCACATTCACACCGGAGTACCCCTTCAAGCCTCCAAAGGTAAGGCGCTCCCCTGACTGACGCTGACGTTCAGATATTCCTATGAGAGATGAATCCGGCTTTAAAACGGGGGTTTTAACCACAAAAAGCAGATCCTGACTAATCTCTAAGTACATTTGAACATACATAAAACACGTCTTTGGGTTGACTGCCTCATCTGGCAAAGACCATTTCTAACAAAGTGTCTTTCCATGGGGCTTAAAATCCTGCTATTTATAGTAACACAGCACCCCATAAGTAATCTCCTATTTCCCACTCATCAGGAAGAGTTTCTAACCGATGAAGTTGCTAACCGGGTCACAGTCTGCGCACAGGAATAATGCAGGGACTGTCAGCGTGGCCCCAGGCGAGGATGACGTGCACATTTGTGAAGTGCAAGGCAGCTGAGCTCCTACCGACCAGGCCTCGGGCTCCCCTCCGGGCCTTCAGACCCAGGAGTGGCCCTCCTCCAGGACGGGGGCTGCCCAGTCCCTGCCCGCTCGTAGTCTCAGGGTCTGCTTCAGAGTCAGGGAAGGCTGCACTGCTGGGGAGGGGTGCGGTTGCAGCCGCAGGGCTGACTGACAGTCCTGTCACTTTAAGAAGGTGATACAGTCACAGGTTATGTTCACTCTAGAATGATGCAGTGTGTTTCACAAGTGAAAATTGAGACCAGACAAAACAACCCAGGCTCATGTGGCTGATGTTGCTTTGTCTGCTGCTGTGGTCCTTACCCATTCCTGGCTCCACCTCTGGAACCTGTTAAAAGGGAATTCAGTGACGGAGGCTGGCAAGACAGCTGCAGGATCTGATGTGAAGGTCAGAAATGAGCAGAAACAAACCGCGTCTGCTGACCCATTTTTCAGCCTTTTAGGTGTCCGATCACTGTTTGCTAATAAGCTTTTTGTCTTCATGTACCCACTGCGATGTTTGAATTAGGTGCTGAAGTTTGAGACCATGTAGTTCTACCAGCTAACACAAGAGGTCAGCAAACGACTAGCTATCCAAACTCGAAAATGTTACGAAAATATTTACATTAAAATAGCTAAAGATGAATTCAAGAAACATACAGGGAACTATACCCAGCCTCCTGGGATAAACCATAATGGAAAAGAATATTTTAAAAAATATGTGTGTGTGTGTGTGTATAATTGAGTCACTTTGCTGAAAAGCAGATATTAACACAAAATTGTAAATCAACTATAGTTCAATTTAAGAGGAAAAAAAGGAAAAATTGAAGTTACCTTGCTTTTTGTTGACAATTACTTCTTAAATGAGATTGAAAATCCCTGAGATTGTATCCATGAATACTTTCTAATCTCAATTTTATTAAATAGTCTCTTAACACTTACTGGCCTTTTAAAATTAATTGGTTACTTTATTCACTTTTTTTTTTAACCAATGTCTGTTTCTTTAAAAGTTTTAATTAGAGCCATTTAATTGAAAAGGTTTTCTAGTAAAAAGTTTCATTGTTTGCTGTTTAAATTCCATTTAGCACTGCCTTACTTTTTTAGGTGACATTTCGGACAAGAATCTATCACTGTAATATCAACAGTCAAGGCGTTATTTGCTTGGACATTTTGAAAGACAACTGGAGCCCAGCACTGACCATCTCCAAAGTCCTCCTCTCCATCTGCTCGCTTCTCACAGACTGCAACCCCGGTAAGCGCACTGGTGCTTTACCTTGTTTATTCCTCCTCTCCTGGGAAATGGCGGTTTTTTCTATTTAAACTAAGATTTTCTAAAGTTCCGATTTTATTTTTGTACAAGCTTTCAAAGGAGAAAAAATTGTTTTTCAAAGAAATTTCTAATCAAGAGTTCTGTCTACTAGTTGAAACATGGAGCCGCTTCAGCGTTAGTTGATGTCTCTGGGAACAGGGTGTTTTAAACTGCAGACTTCACATCAGATTGCCTTAGGTTTTTACATCTTTAGTCATTCTCTCCTTTATTTACTTTTATTCTGCTTTTGCATATTTCCCATGCAGTTCTCTTAAAACGACACGCTTGTGAGTGCTGGGTCACCGCCCCTGACCTGCCCTCTGCCTGCAGCTCCTCTCAGCAGCTGCCCCTAACTGAACAGTGGTTCCCTGCTCTATACTTAGTGATTGCCAGACTGTGGTGGTTTCTGAACCTTCATTTCCTCTTACTAAATTTTTTTCTAGATAAGCCAAATACAAATTTAATGACTAAAGATTCTGTCTAGGTTTCAGAGGAGCACTGCTTAACTGAAAGTGCAGGCTTTGACCTGGCAGCTTTGGCCCTTTCTGGGTAAACGGTGTAGACAGTTTTGTTGCGATGGCCTCGATGGCCTCACCGTGTTCAGGGTGAAGACTGTGGTGCCATCGAGCAGAAGGTCCTGTGAATGGAGCTGGATGTTCCCGGGAGTCAGGGCCAGGAGCCTCCCAGATCCTGACACGGAGGAGCAAACCCTCCAGTGGGGGGTGGCTGTGGGGGAAGGAAAGTCTAGAAGGAAAGGTGTCCAGAATGGTGGAGTGGCTTGATCACAACCACCTGTCGGCACTCTTCCAGGCTCTCACTGACCTACTGGCTAAGATTTAAACGTCCTTTTCCTTTCCTCAAAGTAATGTCCGTTCTTCTCTTCCAGCCGACCCCTTGGTGGGCAGTATTGCCACTCAGTATATGACCAACAGAGCAGAACATGACAGAATGGCCCGACAGTGGACCAAGCGATACGCTACATAAACCGGGCTCTCACAGCGCTTTACATTGTCTGTCTGTCACAGAGAGAGCTGCTTATGGTTTTGAAGGGGTGGGGGAGGGTGGGCGTTGGTAAAGAGTAGGGTATTTCTATAACAGATATTATTCAGTCTTATTTCCTAAGATTTTGTTGTAACTTAAGGTATCTTGCTACAGTAGACAGAATTGGTAATAGCAACTTTTAAAAACTGTCATTAGTTCTGCAATATTAGCTGAAATGCAGTACAGAGAAGAATAGACATTTGGGTTCAGTTGCTTGTAGACTGTAAATTTAAAACAGCTTAGTTTCGTACAGGTTACACATGGCCATTTATGTAAAGTCCTTCCAAGACTACACACTTTTGTTTTGAAAAATTGGAATTTGTTTTCCCTTTTTGGAAGGGAACATTGATATTTAACAGCTTTTAGAGACTGTTATCTCATATATGAAATGGACACATGGCTATAAGACACCAATATAGAAAATGAGTAGTTATGTATTTTATTTTAAATGCCAATCTACTTTATTGTGAAGAGAGAAGAGGTTTGAATCAGGACTTTTGAAAACCTGTAGTAAAATACCTTAAGCTGTTAACTGTCAGGCGTGGAGTGGGAGTTGCTCAGTGGATTGGTTCTATGTTGTGGACTACTTAAGTCTGCATTTGTTACTGTGCTAATAAACAATATTAAAACAACCACCAGCACTGCTGCATTCATTACTTTCTTTTGCCTTTTTTGGTAGTTTTTCTTCTTGCTAGGTCTTTACTGTTAAAACAATCCAGAAGTAATGCAGACTAAACACGTTGGTTTCATTTACCCAGCACCAACTGGGCTTGGTATGTTACTCTTAATTTATCCAACAGCCTTGCAGGATAAATACTGAGGTGCCTTAGAAAAGGTTAGATAATCTAAGTCATTTTCTTCCAAAGATAAAGAGTTCTGCTACATCTTTTTGAAAGCATTTGCCAATTTGTAGATGCGGTGGTGGAATTAGGTTGGTCCAAAAGTAGCTGCAGTTTTGCAATGTTGAACTTTGCCATTTGATACTGGAATACATTCTTAAATGTGGTTATGTTATACATCATTTTAATGTGCATGTCTCAATTTACTTTTTTTTTGCTAATGACTTATTGCTAACAAAATGTTACAGAAAAAATAAAATCAAATAATTCTCATTCAATTTCAAAATGGATTGTAAGCAGCAGAGACAACTCGCAACATGAACGACACACTTGGCCCAGGAACTGCTGACAGACAGCGCAGGGGTGGATCAGGAAGTCTTGCAAAGGAGACAGGAGCCTTGAAGACAAGGAGCCCGGTGGGCGGCCAGCGGCAGCTACACAAGAACTTGCCGAAGAACTCGGTGTCAGCCTTGCTGTGGTGATTCGGCACTTGAAACAGCTTGGAAAGTTGAAATGCTCTACAAGTGGGTGTCTTATGAGCTGACTGCAAACAAAAAGAACCATTTCTCAATCCCGTGCGACAGTGACGCGCGGTGAAGAGTGGATTTCACACAGCTGGCGACGACCAGCTCAGTGGCTGGACGGAGAGAAAGCTGCAGGGCACTCCCAAGGCCAGACTTGCCCCAAAAGAGCTCCTGGCACTGCTCGGTGGTCTCCTGCCTGCCTGACCCCCTACAGCTTTCTGAATCCTGGTGAAACCATTCCATCTGAGAAGTACGCTCAGCAAATCAGTGAGATGCACCGAAAACCGCAATGCCTGTGGCCGGCATTGGTCCCGATTCCCTCCACGACAACACTCACTGCACGTAACACAACCATCGCTTCAAAAGTTGAACGAAATGGCCCACAATCTTGCCTCATCCGCGATATTCATCAGAACTCTCACCAATCGACTACCACTTCTTCAAGCATCTTGACCAGTTTTTGCAGGGAAAACTGTTTCACAACCATCAGGAGGCAGAAAATGCTTTCCAAGAGTTCATGGAATCCCACAGCACAGATTTTTTTTTCCATTTATTTTTATTAGTTGGACGAAGCACAGATATTTACGCTACAGGAATAAACAGTTATTTTTTGTTGGCAAAAATGTGTTGATTGTCCTGGTTCCTATTTTGATTAATAAAGATGTGTTCGAGCCTAGTTACAATGATTTAGAATTCACGGTCCAAAGCCACAGTTACATTGGCACCAACCTAATACCAGGTACTGAATACAGTTCCCTGTGCCGCACAGTAGGTCCTTGTTGCCTACCTATTTTATATACAGGAGTGTCTATCTGTTCATCCTAAACTTCTCCTTTATCCCTCCCTACCTCTCCCGCCTGGTAACCATAGTTTGTTTTTGCAGTCTGTGAGTCTGTTTCTGATTTGTAAGTAAGTTCGTTTGTACCATGTTAGGTTCCACATGTCAGTGATACTAGATTGTCTCTGACTTCCTTCACTTAGGGTGATAACCGTCTCTAGGTCCTTTTTTCCTTTGTGTGTGGTCTTTGCCGACATCATTTCAGAAGAGCCTAGACCTGCTGTTTTTTTTGTGGCTTTTCTCTTGATGTGAGTCTGTCTCACATTGCCTTGTGACTTGATTGAGGTTGTGTACCTTTGGCAGGAACACCCTGGGGGTGATGCTTTCCTTCTCAAGACACCGTGTCAATTTGTCCCCTTACAACATCTACTTTTTGTCATATTTATTTGCTCTGGATCTTCACTTACAGCATGTGGGAGCTAGCTCCCTGACCAGGGATCAAACCCGGATCCCCTGTGTTGGGAGCAGAGTCTCAGCCACTAGGAAGTTGGAGTGACAAGTCCCAAATCTCATGGGTTAAACTGTGCTGAGTGTAACGGTTCCTGATTTGGTTAATAAAGATGTGTTTGAGCCTAGTTACAATGATTTGAAATTCACGGTCTGAAACCGAATTAGATTTGCACCAACCTAGTATCAGCACATGAGAAGTGGGCTCTCGTGGAGAAGTAACTACAGCCACAGGAGGAGTTGCAGGGTCCAGAGTGGAGGTTCATGTCCCTTCATTACGTGTTTAAAAAAACATCCTCATGCTGCACACTAACAGAGCCAAGCTGAGCTCAGCAGAGGAGCAAACCGCAGGATGTATTTTGTGGGGTTTGGCCACACTGTGGCCGTGAGGGTTCTTAGTTCCCGAACTTGAACCTCTGCCCCCTGCAGGGGGAGCATGGAGTCTTAACCACTGGACCACCAGGGAAAGCCCCCCACCCCCATATATTCCTTTTAAATTCTGTGACCTGTTTAGTCACTCAGTCGTGTCTGACTCTTTGTGACCCATGGACTGTATCCCACCAGGCTCCTCTGACCATGGGATTCTCCAGGCAAGAATAATACTGCAGTGGGTAGCATTTCCAGTCTCCAGGGGATCTTCCCGACCCAGGGATCGAACCCAGGTCTCCCACATGGCAGGCGGATTCTTTACCATCTCAGCTTTATATAACTCTCAAAGTATTTATCTGTGTTTAAAAAAAAAAAGGCTAGAGGTTCAACACAGTAACTAGGAGAGAAGGCAGGGAATGATTTAACCATCTGAGTGACAGTTCTTTTACCAAAAAACAAAATAGTGATGAGAAACATTAATTATAAATTGGCCAGTGCTGCCACCGTGTAAGTTTGCATCTTCTATGCCATAGTTCTTGCCTTGCAGTCATTGAACTGAGCCAGTTGAGTTTAAATTCACTGAACCTCATCATCTTAAAGTATTCAAGATAACTACTGTTTAGTAGACCTTTTAACATTATTATTAATGGACCACATCTCATTTAAAACCAATAGTTAACTGCTTTCAAGGTTGAAATGACTAAGTAGCTGGCTTCTTACTTTCCAAGTAGTTATGGTAACTTTGACTTGTGCAGAATGGAAGCTTTACTAGTGTTTAGCAGCTTCCTAAAGAAGGAAGAACCGGTTTGAACGTATTTACACCACCTACTCAATTCATGCTCAACATAATTTCAACAAAGTTAAATCACACATTTTGTTCTGTTTAGCAAGATCTCCACCAGTTTAGCTTAACTCAGTACTCCAGTTGTTTACTGTTTGTGATCTAATCGACACAGTGAGCTGTCATTTTAGAACACTAGACAGGAGACAGACGCTTGGAAGTCTGCATGAAGTGACACAGGATGACTGCTTCTGAGAAAGGTTAAAGGTGAGCAGAGTTACTCGGGTCATCTGCATACAGCCAAGCTTTATTCTTTTGATAAGTACAACAGAATGTAAATAAATAGCTCAATTCAGGGACAAGTTTCAAACAGTGAGGGTGCAAATACATGATTTCTAATCAGGCAACAATACAACTTAGCCCAAGTAAGTTAATGATAACTGAATGTGCATCCGAGGCTTCCTAAGGACCAAGGCAGACAAACGGCCTCGCTTGAACGTGTTCACAGACGGCTAGAGGCAGTCCCAGCTGACCGAACGGCAGGCCCGTCTGCAGTTCTAGTTTTCCGAGCTCGAGTTGCCTTTGTTTTTCCTGCCGGGCAGAGGGAAGCTGGATTTGCTCTGGGGCTGGGAGAGCTTGCTGGCCAGCAGGGTGAAGGGCTCGATCAGGGTCTTGCGGTCGGTGACCGTCACCTCCCACAGGCGCACCTTCTCGCTCCTGGCCCACTGCTGCGCCACCTCGGCGTCCACCTGTCGCTGCTCGGAAAGGTCGATCTTGTTCCCTAGAACCACGATCGCCACCTGGAGGAGGGGCAGGGGGAAAGGTCACACTGCAGCGTCAGCTCCCGGACCAAACGGAGAAGGGAGACTGTACCCTGTAACCAACCGCTTCAGAGGTGACCTGCGTGGTGAGACGGCGGGGCAGCACCTCACTGCTTGCTTGTGCCTTTTGTTAAAAACAGGAGTGCGCTGCGGGCGGCTGTGAGACGCTGTAACCGGTGAAATAACGGGTGTGAATGGAAGGTGGGCTGGGGAAATCAATGCCTGGGGTACAGATAACGTCTGACCGAAACGTGCCTGCATTTCAGTTTAGCTCTTAGCTGCTGTCTGGGCGATCTGCGAGATGTCCTTGAAAACACAACAGGGCGCCTGGAGCCGGGAGAGGTCTGCACCCCGGGGGACCTGACTCAGCCCACTCGACTCACGTTAATCCGGGTCACGGCCAAGCGCCTGAGGCAGGCGCTGAAACACCTGCTGAGCGCGCGCCCCAGCGGGAACAGTGTGCGTTAAAGGCGGGGCGGGCGAGCCTTCTCAGTGGGACACCTGGCACGCAGGGCACACGCGGGCGACGCGAGCGGCAGTCACGGGGCAGTCAAGGCCGGCAGCAGGAAACCGCACCCCGGTGTTGAGAGGCCTGCTCAGGGGAGGCGGCGGGGGACAGCTCGGACCCACGGGCGGCCCGGCCTCTCTGTGGCCGTCCCGCTGGGACGGAGCAGCGTCCCGAGCCCGGTCTTCCCGGCCGGTCTGTAACGGCCGTTTCTCAGCAGGAGCCGCCCTCCCGGCGCTCCCACCCCCTTGTCACCCGCTCCTCGGGGCCGCAGAGGCGGCGCGCTTTGCCAGCAGACGTCCCCGCGGCCGGCGTCTGCACAGAGGCCTCTCCTGCGGTGCCGGCGGGGGGCGGGGGGCGTCCCCTCGGCTCAGGGCCGCCCCCGCCGCTCATCACCCAGCGGCGCCTGGTCACCGCACGCGCCACCCGTCGTGACGCTTCAGCGGGGTGGATTACCCTTCGGGAGCCGTCTCTCAGCACCCTCTCCACACAGGCTAACCATCGCCCTGATCCCCGTCAGCACCCTGAGCGCGGGCGCCCTGAACACCGCAGGGACCCGGCGCCCCTCAGCCTAGGCTCCTCTAGCCCACCGCCCTGACATCGTGATCACCTGGATCGCGCCCCCACCCGGTTCATTAGCAGCTTTTTTTCTGAACGGGCCTGTGCATCTGGCCGAGCTGGGTCCCCGCTGCTCCGGGCCTCTCCCCGCGGAGGCTTCTCTGCCGCAGCGCCCGGGTCGCAGAGCAGTCTCAGGACTCGGTGCACGGGCGCAGCCGCTCCACGGCGTCTTCCTAGATCAGGGAGCGAACCCTGTCTCCTGCACCGACAGGCAGAGTCTCCACAACCAAGCCCCCCCGGGAAGCTCCAAGTTGAACTCAACCGCACTGTGTGCCCAGTGTCTACTTCATGTGGCTGGAGAACCACCTGCCTGCGGTCCCCGTTCGGAAGCCCGACCTCGAGGGCGGCGCCGGCCCAGGCGGCGCGCTCCCCTCTCGTCCCTGCCGCCGCGGCCGCCCCTCCGGCCTCCAGTGTGCCTCCGCCTTCCCCCCTCTCCTCCGCTGACGTCCACGCTTTCAGCAAGAAGGCAGAAGCAACGGGAAGGGAACTTCCGTGTACTCCCACCACCGCACCTAACCGCCCTCCTCGCCCTCTAGGCCCACGTCCACTCTCTAGGACCGGGTGTCGCTCCACCAGCCGTCCCCTCGCTCCCGTACCTCTCCACTGAGCCATCCTGCATACAAACACCACTGTCTCATCCGAGAAAACCGTCTCAGCATCCTCCCAGCTCCTGTCGCTCTCCCTTCAGTCCTGACTCTGCGACCCCATGGACGGTAGCCCGCCAGTCTCCTCTGTCTACGGGATTCTCCAGGCAAGAATACTGGACTGGGCTGCCATGTCCTCCTCCAGGGCATCTTCCCCACCCAGGGATCGAACCTGTGTCTCCCGTGTCTCCCGCGCTGGCAGGCGGGTTCTTGACCACCATGCCCCTGGGAAGCTCTGCCCCACTCTGGGACAGACGTTGGCCCTCTGCCTCCAGGCTCTTGAAGAGCTGTTTGCTGTGCTCAGCTCCCTCACAGCCGGTCCATCAGACTTCGTCTCAGTGTCATTAGACTGCTCCGCGTTCGGTTTGATCTGCCTTCAGCATCTGACAGAGCTGGTCACTCCCTGCTTTCTAAAGCGCCGACCGCACTTGCCTCCCGGTCTCTGCCCTCATCCGTTGTCTTCCTCTTGCTGCAGAGGCCACTTCCGGTGCAGACTCCGCCACCGCGGTCCCCTCGGTGCCAACCACTAAAGGTCAGCGTGCTTGAGAGCGCGCTGGTGCAGTAAACGCGGCTTCGCACCCTGTCCCCCAAGGCCAGAGTCAGCATAGAGCGATCAGTTTAAAACTAAGTCGAAAGGAAGTTCAACTTCCTTCACATGAAGGAGAAACGGAGCTACAAAAACACCCTTCACCCAGAAGAGGCACGGAATCCAGACACTCAAGCACAGTGTCGCCAAGAGTGCACAACAGGCGCTTTCTCTGTATTCCTAGGGATGGCAGCTCGGCACTGTCCTTACCCTCGAGACGTCCCCGGTGGCTCTGACGGCAAAGCGTCTGCCTGCAGTGCGAGAGACCCAGGTTCAATCCCTGGGTCGGGAAGATCTCCTGGAGAAGGAAATGGCAACCCACTCCAGCATTCTTGCCTGGAGAATCCCATGGATGAAGCCTGGTAGGCTACAAGTCCATGGGGTCACAGAGAGTTGGACATGACTGAGCGACTTCACAAGATCCTAACTTATGCTGGTGGATCTTCAACTATGTGCTAAAATGTAGAAAATAATAAAAGTCTAAGATTATTCACTGTAGCATGGTTCATAACAGCACATGACCCAAGATATCCCGTGTCCATCAGCCCGAGGCTAATTACATATGATACATCCATAGTCACACAATGGATACCAGGCATCAGTTTTTAAAGAAAAAAACAAAAAAGGAATCCTGAGTACTGCTAGGGAAAGGACTCCAAGATGCATTACATGAAAAATATAAGATGTAGAACCATAAGCCGCCTCTGGTATAACAGAAGAATAAAAGGTATGTACATTTTTATTTGCTTGTATTTATATGAAGAAACTCTGCAAGTGTGCCCCTCGACTAGGAAGATGGGAAAATATTTAAAAAGCACAGTTGGGGTACCAGAAATGGATGGTTGAGGACAGGTGGGAACCAAAGTTCACTGGAGTCCTTTTGATGTATCCTTTTAATTTTTGAACCATGCGCAAACATTGCCCGTTTCAATTTCTTAAAAACAAACATGAAAATAAGTCATGTAACCCCGGCTACACCCTGCCCTCCCTCTGCCTCCACCCAGAGGCGCCCTCGGCCGCCACCCTCATCGCCCGCCGCCCCCAGCTTGACAGGCGCCGCCCCAGCCTCAGCCGGGCCCGCCCGGAGTAGCCCCTCCGGACGCCAGCCAGGCGCCCGTTGCGTCCCCGGATCTCAGCGAGCAGTGTCCTCAGGGAGGCCTTCCTGTCTCCCGCCTCCCGCCAGCGGTTCTGTGGAAGCAGAGCCTGTTCCATGGTCTCCTGTGTCCCCGGCCCCTCACCAGAACAGTGCTAGCCCACACCTGCAACGTCTGCTGTCCAAACTCGTCTACACTGGGCTACCACCTCACCCAGGGCAGAAGGGCTTCACTAAAAAGCCTGTAAATGGGCTTCCCTGCTGGCTCGGCGGTAAAGAGTCCGCCTGCCCATGCAGGAGACGCGGGCTCCACCCCCGACACAGGCAAATCCCACCCGCCACAGAGCAGCTACACCCGCGCGCCCCAACCACAGAGCCTGCGCGCCCCATCTGCTGAAGCCCGTGCGCCGCAAGTACTGAGCGGCCCGGCTCGCTGCGACTACAGCAAGCCCGTGCAGCAACAAGACCCAGCACGGGCAAGAATAAAGGAATAAAAATGTTAAAGTCTATGCATAACATGCTGAGGAGGGCGTGGAGAAAAAGGAGCCCTTCTACACTGCCGGTAGAAATGTAAGCTGGAGCTGCCAGTGTGGAGGTTCCTTGAAAAACTAAAAATAGATTAATCATAGGATGCCGCATGCTCCATCCTGGGCATATATCTGGAGAAAACTCAAATTCAAAAAGATACATGCACTCCTATGTTGAAAGCAGCACTATTCATAGTAGCCAAGACCTGGAAATAACCTACATGCCCATCATCAGATGAATGGATAAAGACATCATGTATATATATTCAATGGAGTATTACCCAGCCATAAAAAGAACAAAATAATGCCATCTGTAGCAACATGGATTGTCCTAGAGATTGTCAAACTAACTGAAGTCAGTCTGAAGAAAAAAGACAAATACCACAGGAAATCATTTACATGTGGAGTCTAAAACATGACACAGATGAACCTGTCTGACACAGAGACAGACTCACTGAGAACAGACCTGTGGCTGTCGAGGGGAGAAGGCCGGGGGAGGGACGGAGTGGGAGGGCGGGGTCAGCAGGTGCGAGCCTTCACATACAGAACAGAGCAAGAAAATCCTACCTACAGCGCAGTGTGTGACTGAAGGGTTAGTTACAAACTACAGTTCCACGTATGTCAACATGACAAGGTTACAGAAATGGAGAACAGGTAAGTCACTGACGAAGGAGGGAGGGTGGGCGGGGACGCGTGCGGACAGAAGAGGTCCTGAGGAACCCCTGCAGTGCTGGGGGCCCCCAGCTGTATCAGCGTCAGTGTCTCCGCTGCGTTATCTACGACGCTGCTGTTACTGTTTAGTCACTAAGTCGTGTGACTCTCTGTGACCCTGTTATCTGCAGCCCACCAGGCTCCTCTGTCCGTGGGATTCTCCAGGCGACAATACTGGAGTGGGCTGCCATTTCCTTCTTCAGGGGATCTTCCCGACTCAGGGATCAAACCCGTGTCTCCTGCATTTCAGGCAGATTCTTTACCACTGAGCCAGCAGGGAAGCCCTATTCTACAATGGTTTTGCAGGATGTTACCAGCATTGGGGGAAACTGAATGAGGGATCTCTGCTGTTTATTAAAATTCCATGTGAATCTACAATCATCTCAAAATTATAAGTTTGACATGAAAAAATACATAAAAATTAGGTTAACAGGTTCATGACATGGTTCCCTAGGCACTGGGAAGGTGGTCTTGACTTGGAGAAAGACCTGCAACAAGACAGCTCCAGGCAGGGGAACCAGTGACTGTGAAGGACTTCTGGGGGGACAAAAATATCCTGCTGAAAAATTCTGCAGAAAGTAGACCCCTGGAGTGTCACTGGGGCACGGGGACAGGGGAACAATGCTACGTGGACAGACACGGGCTGGATCATCGAGGACTTCACAGACCACAGTGAGAATCTTATTTTCAAGTGGCAAATCAATAGAACCCAGTCATTAGTCATTTTTTTTCCATTTCTTTCCTTTTTTTTTTTCTTTTTAAGGCTGAAGACAATCCTATTTATTCAAAGAGACAATAAAAAGCCCTAGAATACAGTGGTCCCAAATGACGGAGTCACTAAAATTCAACTTATACATGGAAACAAGGAAAGGTAGAGAGTCAAGTGCTGGTCCTGGTGAACCCGTCAGCTCTGTATTTCCTGGGCTAAGAAAAAAAAAAATCATGAAGATTACAGATATGAATACAACTGAAAGCTTTTAAAACATTTTAATTGCCCAGAAGTCCATGCTACAATTTAAACAGAATTCACAGTTGGCTTTTTTTTTTAAACAGCCCCACTTACCTCTTTTTTATCTTTGAACTTATCAATCTCCTTCTTCAGAAGCTCCACTCTTTGAAAGGATTCAAGGTTATTCACACTGTACACAAGAACAAAGCCGTCGGCAAATGAAAAATAATGCTTGGGCAGCTCCACGCCTTCCTGCAGGCCTCTGGTGTCATACAGATGCAACTGTTCCTTGACCCCTCGATCCGTTTCCACTGATGCCATGTACACATCTTCCATTGTCTCACAGTCCTCTATTCCTGGGATGAAAGGCAAATTATTATTTTTTAAACCTTTACTGAATCTGTTACAATAGTGCCTCTACTTTTTGGCTGCCTGGCATGTACGATCTCAGCTCCCCGACCAGGGACTGAACTCACAGCCCCTGCACTGGGAGGCAGTCTTAACCACTGGACCACCAGGTAAGTCCCTAGAAATTACTTCTGTATATACAAATATCACATCATTACATTATCCATCTGAAACTAATAATGTTACGTCAACTTCATCTCCATTTTTTAAAAAGCTATTAGTTTCTGGACAACTCTACAAATTTTTGAGTATTTTCTCATCATGTACAAGTTGGCTTTCTAGGTTCCTTATTTACTATACCTAAGAATCATATTTCCACTTATTAACTTATTTAAAATGAAAAGTAGTTAAGATTCTTTCTTCCATATAGGAACATTTAGGAATAAAAGATAAAGATATATATATATATATTTCCATAAAGGAATAAAAGATTAAAAATTTGGCAATGAGATTTACTATTACTTATTTTTAAAAAGTAACTTACAAGTCAGAGAACTTAATGTCCAAAATGGAAATTAAAGTCTGATTTTTAAAGTAGTTTCAACAACTAAGTGGCCCTGTTTTCTTCTTCATCAGAGTCAAGGACAGGACTTGGGTAATCTTGATTTTTCTCTGTACAACTTCCACTATTTCCAGGGTCTGTTTAAAGAACTCAAAAATGTACATGTCCAGTCTGGGTCTAAGCACCAGGCCTTAATTCCCAAGTGCCTCCGGTGCACTTCTGTGTGACGTCTTCCATGTCCCTCACACTAAGGAGACTTGCTACCCTTCCGCCCACCTGTGTCCCTCCTGCTTTGTCCTGGGATCACCATCCATCTGCTCAGTCCCAAGTGTTCTCTCGGAAGAAGGAAGCATGGGTGAAAGTGGAAGGCCCTCACTCAGGCGTCTCCGACTCTGTGACCCCAGGGACTGTAGCCCCCCAGGCTCCTCTGTCCATGGGGTTCTCCAGGCAAGAGTACTGGAGTGGAGAGCCTTTCCCTTCTCCAGGGGATCTTCCCAGCCCAGGGACGGAACCCAGGTCTCCCACATTGCAGGTGGATTCTTTCCCAGCTGACCCACCAGGGAAGACTGGTGAACATGGGTGGGTGAACATGGCCCCAAGCCAGCGCCCCGAGGGCTGCGATCTCTGCTCCATCCACCGCCGGCTCCCATTCCCCTGGCTGTGCCCCTCTCCGGAACCACTACCAACAGCTCGGGCAACACCCGGGCAACACCTCATCCTCTCCAGACTCTGCTGAGATGTCAGCTCTGTAGCTTTTCTTTGGATTATCCTCTATTCTCCATCCTGCACTTCCTGTGTCTTGCACACGTAAGACCATTTCACCCATCCATCTTTTCATATCTGTCCCCTCCGAAACCAGAAGTAAACTCCTCAAGAGCCAGGACTGTGGCTAATCTCTCTCTAGTTCTGAGAACCAACAAATCGACTTAGGGATGTAGAAAGTCCTCAGAGAGCATTTGAGTGGAATGAATGAGTGAGTGAGCTCACGCCTGGTGCCCCAATTTCATCCCCCTGCTCGCCAGAATGATGAGCCTTGAAACGGGCAATCTTACTCTGCTCCATCTGTGTGCATTTTGTCTCTGCAACTCGTCCGTAACTTCCTTCAGAGAAACACCCACTGAATACACGCTAAGTATTCAACAACGGTTTGTTGACAAGGAGGTTAAGACGAGAAAATGAACAGTCTGAATTTCAATGACTAGTGTGAGAGGCAGTCCATGAAGACACAAACTTGGCAGAGCTTTGATTACAAAAAATTTTAAAACAAAAACTACCAAGACTTTGGTCATGGTGGATGTTTTATCCGCCAAAAGCCAGTCTGGTTCCCTTCCTTCCATTAAGCTTAGACCTCTTGAGATTTTGTCATCCTATAAACTGTGTGAAGTCAGACTCCTTGCCAGCTCTCCGGGTCACCTCTCCCACTCCATGCTGCCCCATCCCAGCGGGAGACTAAGCTGCACTCTGGAAAGGAAAAATAGAAGCTGCTGCAGAAGCGAACAGAGGGCACGGTGAAAACGGGGGCAAGTGAGTGACCTGCTCCCAAACTGCTGGGCCAGCTCTTTACCCTCCGGGCAGAGGAAGCTGGGGAATCGGACCAGTGAAAAAGTTAAAAACCCTAAATATGCTAACCTCTTGGGTTAACTCTTAATGACAAATGCCCCACCCAGGTCACCTTATAATGAAGCAAAGTCATGAATCCCACCCATGGCTTAGAGCTTTAATTAGCTTTTCAGTTCGCCATTCTTAACTACTAAGCAGACAACCAAGGATTAGCAGACACCCGAGGAAGAGACCAAAAATCAGGAAATAGCACCTGAAAAGAAAGAGACTGTGCAAAGAAAAGCAAACAAACAAAACAAAAAACTACCAAATATTACATTTAGAGAGAGAAGACAGTGCATTCATGAAATAAGAACAGGATACTAAGAAAAGAAAACTGAATATAAGGGCTAAAAAATAAAGCTGAGGAAAATTCCCATAACGTAGAACCAAACACTGAGAGACAGAAAACAGGAGAGGAGAAATTTTAAAAATCAAGAGGGTTAGTCCAGAAGATCCAGCATCCAAAAAAAGAGAGTTGTGGGACTCCCATGGAGGTCCAGTGGCTTAAGACTCAGCGCTTGCAACGCAGGGGGCGAGGAATCCCAGGTCAGGAACTAAGACCCCACACGCCTGGCGGTGTGGTCAAAGCATTTAAAAAACAGCATGTAATCACAGGAAGACATCAGATTCGGAAAACCACCTCAGCGTGTGTGTGCTCAGTCATGTCCGACTCTGCGACCCCATGGACTGCAGCCCGCCAGGCTTCTCTGTCCATGGGATTCTCCAGGTCAGAGTACTGGGGTAGGCTGCCATTTCCTTCTCCAGGGGATCTTCCCGACCCAGGGGTCAAACCCTCGTTTCTGGCAGAGAGAATCACAGGGATAATAATAGTAAACAGCTTTATTCGGAAGCCCCAGGGTTAGACTGCACCAGGCACAGGGCTATCTGAGGCTGTCGTCGCCCAAGGCCTCATTTCATCGTGAAACATTTTTAACCCAAAAAAACAACTGGAAGATCTGCTCCAGCAAAAAGATGACAAAAGGTCTAGATACAGGAACTGAAACCCAGAAAGAAAGAAGTCAAGGGAAGTCCTGTGGTGATAGTTGTGCAACAGGCCCAGAGAATGCCAGCTCCCAGATCTCACCAAAAAGTGTGTGTGCGTGTGTGTGTACGTGTGTGGTGGGGGATTATCTGATACAGCAGACGTCACAGAAAACAGAAACATCTGGACATGCATAAGAATTAGGAAAAGGTATAAACAAAACTAAAGAAATGATGAACAGGGCAAATATTCGCCTCCATAAACAGAGAAAGAAAGAAAGGAAACACAGTATATGACGCTGCTCAGCTGAGAACATCCACGTGTGCCGGCAGTCCTCAAGGTGTGGTCTGACAGAGATCCCTTGAGGTCTCCTTCCAGGGAACCCACACGGGCCAAGCGTCAGACATGAGTGAGCGACTAAACACAACACAACGGGGCAAAGCTTTTTTCGTAACAACGCTAAGGCGATCACCTTTTGCACTATGTTGACATTTGCTGATGATGCAAAAGTAACGGTGGGTAAAACCACATTGGCTTAGCACAAATTCAGGCAGGGGCACCAACTGTCTTGGTGGCTGAACTCCTCACCACCTCCTAATGCGGTTTAAAAAGGAAAAGTCAATTTCATCTAAAAATGTCCCTGATAAAGCCAGAAAAATGACAAAATTTATTAAATCCCAATCTTTGAGTATGTATCTTTACATCTTTTCAAAATTTTACGTGATTAACGGGAAGTCTGCATTAAGTATTTCACTTAATGAGTAATGCTGACTGTCTGGAGGAAGAGTTCTTGTGTCTGAGCTGCAAGCTGAACTAGGCTTTTTTTTAAGAAATGACACACAAAAAGCCATGGGTTTTTTTGGGAATCTGACAGACATTTTCTCAAAGATGAATAAACGAGTCTATCATTTCCAGGAAGATAACTGACAATATGTGTGGTTAATGATCAAATTTGTGAGCTTTCAAGCAAAAAGGAGAACTGTATCCATCGGCATAAACTCGATAGCCTCCCAGTGCCGATGAGATTGGTGATGACATCAACAAATGTTATTCGGAAGATCTGCTTATCTAAGTTAACCAGTATTTTCCAAATGACCCATTCATGATAAAAAACCATGCTTGGGTAAAAAATCCATTTGATGTGCAAGATAGATCAATGTGATTTTAATGTAATACAAGTTCACTGATGTGGTTTTAAGGTTCACACTGTGTAACCTTCAAGTAACTATCAATGACCCTAATTTTAGTGAAATATCAAAGAAGCAAATCCTGAAGTATCTGCAAATCTATTAAAATACTCATACCTTTTTCAACCATACACTTGTGTGAGGCCAGATGTTCTTCACGTATTTCAACTAAAACAACACACAACAGCAGGTTGAACGCAGACACAACCGGTTATGATAATCCAGCCGCCTTCTACTCGGCTGGACACTTGATTTTCAGAAATGTAAATCAACAATTGTCTTCTCACTAAATTGTTTTTGAAAATAGAATTATTTTTCATAAAAATGTGTTCCCTTAGCATGTAATAAATGTATTGTTCTTACTTTAAGTAGTACACTTAAAATTTTCCTCAGTTTTAATTTCTAATGTAATAGAAATGTCGTAAGACATAGCCTACATAAACAAAAGCTGTGGGGGTTCTGACAGGATAAAGGGATTCTTTTTTCCCCCCATGGGCATAATTTGTTTTTTGTACAAATTAGAATCTGAGGGTAAAAAATTCAGAACTGTTAATGCAGCATTTATGACAGGAGTGATGGTTTGGGGGAAATCAAAAGGTTTTTGGAATTTCTGATGCAGGCATCATAATAAAAACCGAATGTGGAATTAACCAAAGTTGTTAAATATTATTTTGGGAAGGTAGAAGAGAATCAGAGCTCATCAAAATGGTTAATAAAAATGAGATAGAAATGTGCTCCAGGGTTCTTGCCACTGACAAACACTTCAAAGATCCATGATTCTACCTAAGAGAAGCCTCATTTCATTCTGTTATGTCTGTGACCTCCTTAAAGCCAGAGAGGCCTCATCATAGCCTGGATCACAGAGGAAGTACAGAACAATTTTTAACTCAATGAGATAATCCAGTTCACAAAAGTAGGCCATACTGCAGCAAACAGCTGTCTCTTCCATTCTTAAAACCCAATTCGGCAGTACTGGAAAGTCACGTATGAAACAAAAGTGAGAGCTCAATGTATCTTGAAGTCAGTGAGTCTGTGACTCCAAGACTGCTATTCGTGATGTAAATAATCTACTGGAAACCACAGACAACACTGTCTTGCCTGTTATAACTCCTGTTCTAACAGAGTGAGTGCAAGCACTCTTGAACGTCGACAATATAAAAGCATTTTCTCCTTGCCCCTACATACCCCTTCAGTCTCTGTCGACTTCTACAACCCTCCCAGTCCCTCTAGATGACACCTCACCCAGCTCTAGGTCAGCGCGGCCAACCAAAGATCCCAATCAGTTCCCAGAGCCTACAGGGAAACTAGAGAAAAAAAAATCTTACCAATAGTATGATTCCCATAAAGGAGCTGCTCCAAGATCGCCGTTTTCCCCACAGAGAGCAAGCCACAGACCACGACCTTGCAGCCTTTCCCCATCTTCTCTTCGGAGATCACTGTGAAGAGAAGAGAAGATCTTTAAAAGAAAAGAAAAAAAAATCCTTTCCTTTTTATGTTTCAATGTAATTAGTAACATGTACACAGGGGGATACTGGGTATTGCAAGTATAAAAAAAGAGATACAGAATAAAGTTTATTCTTCCAAACTCCGTTCCCTGGTTCCCACATGCTCCCTCAGAGCAATCACTGCTATGGTTCCGTGTATACCCCTGCAGAGGTAACCTAGAGAAACACAAGAATACACTTATAAACATGCTTGTTATCAAAAAGAATAGACACATCTTATATAAAGACTATTTCAATATTAATTAAAGTCTACAGCAATCCAAACAGAATCCGAGATAAATCCAATCCTTGAAAGACTGCCTGCTCATCAATGTCTACCTGGAAAATCAAGCACTTAAGTAAAACTTTAAGCAGCCATGAAGATAAAAATTTGGATAGAGAATGGACATCACTAAAAATTTGGATAGAGGATGAACATCATTTTTTTTAAAAAAAAGCATTAACACCATCAATGCCAACGTTAGTCTTTTCTCAGGAGAGTGAGATACTGGATTTGGGGCTGTCTTAAGTCACAATTCTTTCTGAGTCATGGTTCTTCATGCTAGAAAAATTGCTCAGGCACTTTAAACCGAAAGAAAAGGAAAACTCATTCCTCCTTGCTTCCTCAGATATCAAGGAAGAGAGAGATCAGGTAACATATTATTGAATTTTCCTCAAGGTTTTTTTTGTCTTCCAGAAGGCAAGGTAACAGAAGACAAGACAGAAACAGAAAAAAGACTCATTAACTACAACAAAATAGCCTGCTAAGAGAATTTAAATTTCCACATTGCCTTTTGTCACCTTCCAACACAAACCTTAATCATCATGTTCTCCAGTTCTCTTACCTAGAAGCATGGATGGGCTTTCCAGGGGGCTCAGTGGTAAAGAACCCACTTGCCACCATAGGAGACGTGGGTTCAACCCCTGGGTTGGGAAGATCCCCTGGAGCAGGAAATGCTCCAGTATCCTACTCCAGTATCCCTGCCTGGGAAATCCCATGAACAGAGAAACCTAGAGGGCTAAAGTCCATGGGGTCACAAGAGTTCGACATGACTGAGTGACTAAATAACAACAAAAGCACAAGTGTGGAACATGCAATAACTCTGACTTAAAAAGGATGCCACAACTCCTTCAAGGCAGAAAACAAAAATGTTCAAATAAGCATCCAATAAAAGAGACCTGTGGACATCTTTCTATATGCACAAGTCGCATACCACTCGTTTTTAACCAAGATCTAAAACACTAAGTGAAAAAGAACTTTCCATCAGCCTTCTCTACTTTCTCAAAGTCTGTAATTTTTTTAAACTGAGGTATAGCTGATTTCCTTGGGCCTTCCCAAGTGACACTCGTGGTAAAGAATCCACCTGATAATGTAGGAGACACAAGAGATGACCGTTCAATCCCTGAGTCAGGAAGATCCCTCTGTGGTATTCTTGCCTGGGAAATTCCATGCAAAGAGCCTGGCAGGCTATAGTCCACAGGGCTGCAAAGAGTCAGACACAACTGAGCCCGCACAAGATGCATAACTGATTCCCAATATTAGTTTCAAGTGTAAAAAGATTAAAAATTTTTATAGAGTATACTCCATTTACAGTTATTATAAACTATTGGCTATATTCCCTGTACTGTACAATATATCCTTTTAGATTACTTATATTTACATAAGTTGTATAAAAGTTGTTCCTCTTAATCCCCTACTCCTATATTGCCCCTTCCCCTTTCCTTCTCCCCATGGTAACCACTAGCTCGTTCTGTGAGTTCTCGTCTTTCCTGTTACACTCACTAGTCTGTTTTTTTTTTAAATTCCACATGTAAGTGGTAACATACAATATTTGTCCTTGTCTCTTATTTCAGTAAGCATAATACCCTCCAGGTCCACCCATGTTGTGGTAAATGGCAAAATGTCATTCTTTTTCATGGCTGAGTAATATTCCACTGTGTGTGTATACCATGTCTACCTTATCCATTCATCTGTTGATGAACACTTGGGTTGCTTCCGTATTTCAGCTGTTGTAATGCTGCAGTGAACATTGTGGTATAGTTATCTTTTCAAATTTGTTTTTGTTTTCTTAGGCTATAAACCCAGGAGTGGAAATGCTCACTCATATGATAGCTCTGTTTTTAGTTTTTTGAGAAACCTCCATACTGTTCTCCACAGTGGCTGCCCCAGTTTACATTCCCATCAACAGTGTAGGAGGGTCTTCTTTTCTCCAGTTCCTCACCAACATGTTATTTGCAGACCTCCTGATGACAGCCATTCTGACAGATAAGAGGTGATCTCTCACTGGGGTTCTGATTCGCATTTCTCTGATGATGAATGACGCTGAGCATCTTTTCATGTGCCTACTGTCCACCTGTATGTCTTCTTTGAAAAAGTGTCTATTCAGATCAGTCACTCATTTTTAAATTGGATTTTTTTTTTTTGATAATGAATTGTTATATTTTGGGTATTAACCCTTATCAGTCATATTATTTGCAAGTATTTTCTCCCATTCAGTACATTGTTTTCATTTTGTCAATGGTTTTCTCTGCAGTGCAAAATCTTTCAGGTTTAAACAGGTGCCATTTGTTTATTTTTGCTTTTGTTTCCTGTGCCTTAGGAAACAGATTCAAACAAACATTGCTAAAATTTATGTCAGAGTGTTCTGCCTATGTTTTCTAAGAGTTTTATAGTTTTTGATCTTACATCTTTAGTCTGTTTTGAATTTATTTTTGTATATTGTGTTAGGGAATGTTTTAATTTCACTCTATTATATGCAACTGCCCAGTTTTCCCAGCACCACTGAGGAGACTTTTTTTTTCTCCATTATATATATTCTTTCCTTTGTCATAGATTGTCAAAGTCTACAACTGTGTATAACCCAAATCAGGCCACAGCACTAATCACATGAAATATTTTAATGCTACTATTATTATAGTGCAGTAATAACACAGTACTCATTTCCAGAGCAGTATGTTACATTTTACCAGGAGATAAATAATCATCACTTATGTGATATAACCATTATTTCTTAGGCGGCATCCTCGGAATCATTCTGATAAATCTTCCCAAGAGTATTTATCACCTACTTCCAGGAGAACCACTTCTCTTAGGGGACTTTCTTTTCAATTTCAGAGTACTTGCAACAGAAAAATTCTCAGTCTGTCTTTATAAGGGCAGGGTTTGGTGTAACACTAATCTTCTACGGTATGCTAACACCTATGTCAGCGACTATAGCCTGTATTAAAAGGTTTTCTATAGATACTTCTGAATTTGTGATTAATGTCATTTCCTTTATCATAGGATTCTATTCTCTCTCTCCATACTGTGGTCTCCTGTTACACTACTGAATCTTTCTTTCAAAGGGTTTTTAATATTAGTTAAAATTTGGGACTTCCCTGATGGTCTAGTGGCTAAGACTCTGTGCTCCCAATGCAGAAGCCCCGGGTTTGATCCCCAGTCAGGGAACTAGAACCCACATGCCACAATTGAAGATCCCACATACTGCAACTAAGAGCCGGTGCAGCCAAATAAAAAAATTTTTTTAATGGGATTTGCATGCCAAGTGAGAATTATTAAAAATAATAATAACAATCGTTACAATTTAAAGAAAGTTGCCACCTAACTATGAGAGAAGAGAACAAGAAAGTGGTGGCAGCACAAACTCATTCTGTTGTCAGGAAAGGCTGCCGCTGGAATCTAAATTCTGATTTTTCTACTATCTTCTATTGTTACTTCCCTTCCTCCAAAACATCTCAGCCCCACAGAATTTGTAAATACCAATCCTCACCTCTTCTCCCCTTGAAGTGAAGTGAAGTGAAGTCGCTCAGTCGTGTCCGACTCTTTGTGACCCCATGGACTGTAGCCTACCAGGATCCTCAGTCAATGGGATTTTCCAGGCAAGAATACTGGAGTGGGTTGCCATTTCCTTCTCCCCTTACTGTTCAATCAAAAAAGTCCCCCATTACCACATACTATACCAACCTTCAAAAAAAAATGCAAGTGCTTTAAAAGGGTAGGTACATACTGTAGTTGAGGGAAGCCGCTGTTTTAAGAGAAAAAAAAAAAAGCCCAGTGATTAACAGCAATAGACTCTGTGAAAGGGAGGCGGGTATGAGTGCTAGGGACTGTAGAAAACTGAAAAAATGCTGAAATCAACAGACTCCTGAGAAATCAGAAATCAAATATTCCTGAGACTCTTTGGAAGTAGTCTTAATTATCTGCTTTAAAAGTGGTATAATGCAATTGTACTTTGATCACTTGTGACTGGCAGATAAAGTATGTTAAAAATATGTATTATTTTGTATTTGTGTATAAGAAATTGCAGGAGTTATTTCAATACCTCAGAGGAAACTTCATCAAGGGTGTAATAAATTGCAGGAGTTATTTCAATACCTCAGAGGAAACTTCATCAAGGGCAAACAGCAAAAGGAACTGAAAAAGAGGTAATTCAAACAATAGATAAGGATTTTAAGGTTTTGTAGGAAGGAGAGAAGGAAAGAAAGAAAACAGAACAGACCACGGTAAATATTTCACACCACCAAAAAGAAAACAAAGATAAGAGTGTGATTACTTAAAACATACCTGAAACATTCTAGGTTCTTAGTTGTCTTCACGTGAAAAACAATACTACTACATAAACCCGAAGATCAGTGACCTGCTTTACCATCAAATAAAAAATATGAATTCTGAGGCAAAAACTATTGTGTGTAAAATAAATAAGTTATAAGGCTATACATTGTACAGCACAGGGAATATAGCCAGTATTTTCTAATAATTATAAATGGAATATAACTTAAAACTGCAAATCACTGTTGTACACCTGAAATTCATATAATATTGTACATCAACTATACCCCTTAAAATTCATTTCTTAAAAGTATGAATCCTTCAAAAAAATTAACATATAAGGTAAGATTCTGAACGAATAACATTAAATACACACAAAAACACTT